GGCGGAAGGCAGCCGAGTGGTGCTTCGGAACACCGACATACCCTGTCACCCACCCGGGCCCCACCACCACCACCATATTAACAACGCGACTCTACCAGAGTAATGATAGGAAGAATAACGCATCGTTTTACCAACATTACTCTTCTCTCGCGACTCCACCTCGATTTCGGATTGAGGACATCCCTTATATTGTATATATTAAATACATTTTAAATTTTTATACTATAGGCATTTTTAATTCAGCATTAATATGAATGGATTACGAAAAAATCCGGTTATCTATTGTGACAATAAGTGTATGAAGTTATAGGTTTATACTTTACCAACCATTATATTACAAATATCACATAAATTTCAATTAGCAGCTTATCGACGCAGCTTTAACTGACCATTTCCTAACAATAGCTAAGTCCTGGTGTTATGAAAAATTTATGCCGTTGTATTTACCATTGCTTTGGTAGATAATTTAGAATAGTTTAAGGAATTTCTCTTCATAATCAGATATAATTTTCTTACATTGACCCGTCAAAATCATAATTAAACACATGCCTTATCAATGGCGTAGTGTATATAGCTGCTACCCGGGTTCACTAGAGCCAAAAATGTCTGCGATGTCAGTACCAAACGTCTCGCACCTTCGACGATGCTTCCTGTCTACGGCCTAGGCATTTCACTTCTGACATAAACGGGTTGGTAACACCATCCCGTCACCTGTCGTAAATATGAATACTTTTAGGCATTCCCATTTTTTCATTCTTTCTTCTTGCACACCCCGTAAAAGTCTTCAGCTGGACTTAGGTCAATTACGTAGATGAGAAGAGTTTACTAAAATGACACGAGCGCGCAGTCCACCTGATGGTTAGTGGTTGCTATGGCCCATTGACATCTACATCTATCTTTGATTACAAATCAAATGCAGACGTGTTGTCACCCCTGAGGACTAAGACGGAGTGCCTCATTTCTGTAATAAAATGGTCTCCAGTTCTCTACACTCACTATATGAAACACAGCAGCGTTAAGCTTCTATTTTACGCTAGTATTATGTGAGAGCGGAGTCCTTCCCTGGTCGAGCCGAAACATTCGTGCTACAACTATACTACTAATATAGCTGCAGCATGCCTCTACTATGTACTAAAATGACACGAGCACGCAGTCCACTTGAGGGTATGTGGATGCTGTGACCCATGGACAACTACACCTATCCTTGATTAAGAATCAAAATGTAGATATGTTGTTACCCTTGATGACTTAGATAGAATGTCTGATTACCAGTTATAGTGTTACTCGATTCGATTCGATAATATATAGTAGCAGCGTGGTTCAACATCGTTATAAAACGTGGCTCTACCATGACACAATGATACGATTTGCCTTAATCTCCGCAATTCACATTAAAAGACAGCCACCCAGACAGCCGTCTTGCACCATCATGCTCCCTGCTGCTCTGCCTTTTAAACGCTCGGCATAAACGACATGATCATATAGCTATTAGCCATAGCGAGACGAAATAGGGTATTATTGTATTCTATTTCGCCGGCACCAAACGGCAAGAACAAAAGTTTAAATTAGTAGATGAAGATGAAAATAAAAAAATGCACATTCTGATAGATTTACAATTGGGGCTAAGAAATTTAAGAAAAATGTAGTACATTGAAGTCATCATAGAAACAGACAGTAGAACCTAGTGAAAGTTTAAGTCCGTAACCAGTCAGGAACACTGCCTGATCTTCGTTGCTTGACTCGCTTACCAATTGCGACGATTACAACACAGTGTCAACGAGTGAAGATCACAACAGCCATTATCGTTGATTAACCCTTCAATCTCCATATAATTCCCATGCAGTCGCATGCGCCTGGCAAATCCCGAGCGGTCAAATGGGACCGCACCCACCCACAGTACTTAAAACCATTAAAAGGTATATTTAGAGACTACTTTTCTATGAAGAAGTTTGGCATTATAAAATCTATACAAAATTCTCTATCCTGTGGTCTAAACAAAAGTCGGGTTTTACTTCATTAAAAAAAATATTTTATTGTATTTGATAACAAAAAAAACCATACCAAGCGGATGTCGGCAGCGTGAAAATTACAATTATTTCAATATATATTACTCGAAATTATTTACGTAAAAAGATAATTTATATTCACATAAAAACTTTCATTATAATTTTATATTAAAATACTATACTAAAACACTAGAAAATTCCAAAAATCAACACAATAACATTCACACGAAAATGGCGTACGAAATGAACGTAGATTATAAATAAATATCCATAGACTACCTAACTTTTTATTCCACTACAGGATAGAAAATTTCATATCGATTCTATAATGGCAAACTTCCTCATAGGAAAGTAGTCTCTAAATATAAGTATTTGTGGGTTAAAGTGCTGTGCTCACTCACACACTCAAAATCTCAGGTGTCCCGGAAACGATGCTGCCACACTCAGTCTTCAGCTTTGACAGTTGGCTCTTTCTGGCAGACAGATCTCTGGTAAAGACTTTGGAGCCCTGGTTCCGCTCGATCGCTTCTTTAATACGAGCAGTATTAAAGTTGCGTAAGTCTCGCTGCATGCATTTGGAGATCTGTCTGTTCAGTTGCCTGTATGCTGTCAAATCTGTTGACGATTGCAGCCTCATCTCCCGTCTAACAGACATGAGATTAAGAGTGTGATCGGAGTATTTGTGTTCTTCTGCGGCGGGTCTTGGAGAACATAGCTCCGACCGCATGGACAGTTTCCACGAGCATATCGTCCACTGCATTGCAATCTTCTAGGCACTGAAAGCAATTACGTAATTCGAGCTGAAAGGTTTCGGGATTCTGGATTAGAGCACGAGGGGGACGGAGCGTTGAATTCATAGACGAGACCTCTCCAACTTAACGTTTAGGTTCAGTGTGCCTCTAACCATTCGGTGATCGCTGCCGGTTTTCACCCTTGCGATCACTGAGACATCACTGAACAGTTGGCGTCTGGTTGTCATAATGAAGTCAATCTAATTTTTTGTCGAACCGTCGGGGCTCGACCAGGTCCACTTCCTGTGGGAAGCGATTTGAAAAAGAGTTCATCATAAAGAGTCCCTCTTTCTCCATAAAGTCGCTGCTGGCCCCTACGGTTCCGTTGCCCTACTCCAAATTTTCCTAACTTCAGCTCACCGCCTTCTCTTGTGCCTAGTTTTGCGTTGAAGTCTCCCATCAACACCGTGTAGTGGGTTTTGGAGGAATGCATGGCTCTAGAAATATCCTCATACATTTCCTCCACCTCCTCATCGGGATGTGCCGAGGTTGGTGCGTAGACCTATATGACCTTCAGCGAATACCGTTTGGTGATTCTGAGTATCAGGTACGCGACCCTCGTCGACACACTCCCAATCTTTACAACGTTGTTGACGAGAGACTTGTGGACGATAAATCCGACACCTCCTTGGGACAGATGGTCGCCCTCACGGTGATAGAATAAGTTGCCGGACATGAGGATTACCGTGTCCTCTCCTCGGACCTCGGATAATATGCCAGCGCAACTTGTCTACCTTTTCTTCCAGCTCCTCTCTCTCTCCTTCTCGTCAGTCCTCAGGGTGCGTGCGTTATGCGTTGCCAGGTCGAGTCGTCTTAGGTGGCAACCGAACCTCCACCGGAGATTCTTAGCACCCCCTGCCCCGCCGTTACCATGGTCGCCACCGTAGCCAGGAATAGCGGGGCCGCCGGGTCTGGGGGCCGTTTGTTCGTTGCTCATGGGGGGATATTTGCCATAGTTGCCACGCTTGGCGAGCGGGTTGGCAACCGCAGTTTTTTATTATGTTATTGTTATTATTAGGAAGATGCTGCTGCCCATCTCCTTTCTATGTCCCTCTATCGCCTTTTACGTCACCCACGGGAAGATATGGGGTAGTGGATATTCTCAACCGCCACTACACGGCAACATCTACCTTGATTAGATTTAATAGCAGCGATTGCTTATTATTTTTATATTCAAACTGAAGTGGCAAACGGAGTTACAATCCAACTGATGGTAAAAGTGGCTTCTGCAGTCCATGGACACCTGCAGCCATCTTGGAACAAAGAAAGCTACAGATGCGCTGTCACCACTGAGAAGTAAGATGAAAGCCTTTATGCTTGTAATTCTACCAAGCCCTTCAGACCGAAACACAGCAGTGCTAGCGCTGCATAGTTAAGAGGGTGGAACATTCTCAAACGGTCTCCTAGGTAGAAAGGAGCTTCAGAAGTTACTTAAAGCTGAGAAGAAACTTAAAGCTTACGTGTCAGTAAGCTTCAAGTTTCTTTAACGTGATTTGACGGCTTGGTAGCTCAGTGGCTAAGCACTTAGCCTTTGAGCTACATGCCGCAAGTTCAAATTCTGCACGGAATAAGTTTGTGTGGCCTAAAATATCTTAAAGATTTTAATAAAGAAGAAATAAATTATTTCTATACACATATAAAATATAATTAGTGCGGTTATTCATATTTTGGTAAACACGTGCATAAATCACCTTTTCATAGACCGAAGAAGTAAATAACTTTTACTTACTAATGATTCCTTATAGTTACGCGAACACTACACATTGAATAAAACTGTTTATAAGGATTTTATCGCGCTTAATTAACTTATTTTTAATCCCCAATGTGTCGGGTGTTTTACAGCAACAAGCACCCATGGTACTGTAAAGCACCCAAAATGTCAGGAATTAAAAATAGGTTAATTAAACGCAATAAAATCCTTATAAATAGTTTTATTCAATTTTACTAACTACTTTAAATAGCCTAGGAAAACAGTATTCTATTAGTAAAATGCTAGTTGATACTTGAGACATGATACGAATGGGGTAATTAGTATGAAAATATATTGTAATTAGTGTCAGGAATCTGATAATTAAAGGCTGTTTGTCATGGAAGGCATATAGCAAGAAGACTACTACTTGCCTTTTAAACTGATGTCTCGGAATAATTATTGCAACTCATAAATAATAATGTTGATCTTTGTTGTTAACAAAGTACTTGGTCTATGTTCACCTTAAAATCATTATATTTGTTCCAGCCTCAACGCAAAAATGGGCCGAAGCTTGCAAGAGTTGCACGGGAAGAAGCGCGACCTACAGCGCCTACGTCGAAACAAAATTCTACTAGTAAGATATAATTCTATACAACTTACTTAAATTACTGATAGAGGAAAAGTAATCTACAAAAATCTACAAACATCGATATTTTAGATTTACAAAGAAACAAATGAAGCACTAATATCATTCAATTAATATGAGATCATTTGTTTATTCCGAAGAAAGCTTCGTTTAAACCATATAAATAATAGCATAAATATTATATTATCTACAATTTATATTATGTACAATGGTAAGAAATGATGTTTTTCAGGGTCAATTCTTATCCTATTTTAATTCTTAGATTATATTCATGATATCTCAATGTCTGATGTATTGGAAGATATGTCAAAAGGGAAAATTTCGTTTATGTTCGACGAATTCTAATTCTAGATGAAGTTTCTATTTGATTTACTAATAATTTTTGCTCAAGCCTCTGGAAGCACTTTCTTGCAAACAGAAAAGACTTGCGATATTTTTTTTTTGCTTTATCCTATGATATAAAAGCGGGAGATCTGTTACATAAATAGGTCGTACCTATAGAGCACTATAATACAGAATAGAATGTCAACCTTATTTTGTAGGAGGGTTAGCGTCGCCGGGAGCACACATACAAGCAATTACGTCGTATTATCAGTTATCACTACTACAAACACATTTTAGATTTTATTTTGATTAATGTTTTTGACACATAAATATTTCTTTATTTTTGTTTCTAATATTCACCAAATATAAATAGTTTCGACTTACTGGTTGTAGAATATGTGTCTTTTATTTAAATTCTATTTCCCCTTGTTCTTTCGACACGTAATTATTACACAATTTGCCATTTTTTTTAATAATTTGCATGCGGCGACGCTTGATACGAATATTGGAAACGATTGATTGTGTTGACTTTTATACGTGTGAATTGACATGTTAGTGGCTACACGGGCTTCGCCCACTCCCCCGTTCTATTATATATGTATTACAGTATTCTATGGTCGTACCTTATTTTAATCATCCTATTGTATAGGAATAATATGTAGATATAGCGACGGTCAGAAAAAATAATTTTTGAATCTGTCAGTGACAGCTTGGTAGGGTATAATTATCTGGTTTTCATGTATGTAAATACCTAATCTCCCGAGTATATTATCTAGTATCCTGTGTGTTCTTTTCTCTGATCATATGTACATATGTGTTCCAACAGGACACAAATTCATTATCTCTTAGCCTCTATTTTCAGTTAATTATCTAGCTTGCGCCAAAACTATAATAATTAAATCAATTTCAAATGTAAAAGTATCAAATAAATTAATTTGAATTGAATATCTCAACTTCTGGGCTTTATGATCAGGGTATGTTATTATATACAATACATTAGACCTTATTTACACAATATCATATCATAGCTTAAGGAGCCGTGGTAGCCCAGATGATTAACGCTCGATGTAAATATAACAGAACGCGAGTAACCTGGGTTCGATCCCTGCCGGCACCAATGAAATTGTTAATTGCAATTTTAATTTCTGATAGGGGGATAAGTCGCTCGCGTCCGTAGGCTTCGAGCACCTAATCCTAGGCCCACCCTACACGTTTCCCCCGGGTGGTGCTAAAAGAGCGACAAAGCCGAAAGAACAGACTCGGCTACTCGCCATGTGGTAGCGGCGTAAAATATGCCACACCCTAGTTTTCGCACCATGAGGCAAAAAGTAAAAGAAATGGCCCCGAGTTCCCGGCGCCCCTTTAATGGGGCAGGGGTGCGAAGAATCTCCGGGAGAAAAACCGGCGACGAGGTTCGCCACCCGTCACGTTCTGTCTCCCAGAGAGGCGAAAAGTGGATTGCAGAGGCCCGTCTGGCTACGTTGAATGTATGTGGGGCAATGAATGATAAAATGGATGAAGTATGCGATATGATGTATGATAGAGGAATAGATGTATTATGTGTAAATGAGACGAAAAGGAAGGGTAAGGATGTCACTGCACATGGCATATATACCGCATACTGGTCTGGTGTCGACGAGATCGAGCGGGCATGCCAGGGAGTAGGTATCATCCTTTCAGAACGAATGGGCCAATGTGTGAAAGAGTATGAATGTGTAAGCCCAAGACTGCTATGGATACGAATGGAAGTGGGCTTAAAGAATTTGTTTATGTTAGGGGTCTACGCCCCAGACATGTCTAAGCCCACTTATATCCGGCAGCAGTTTTGGGAAATGGTAAGGATGGTGCTAATGAAGTGTAAGGGAAATGAAAATATTATTATGCTAGGAGATTTTAATGGAAGGGTTGGGGTGAGGAGGCTTGGTTATGAAAGGATATTGGGAACGTTTGGTGATGAAAGTATAAATGAGAATGGTGAAAGCCTCCTCACCGTATGTGTGGAAAGGAATCTTTTTGTGACGAACACTTTTTTTCGTCATAAGAAGATTCACATGTATACTTGGGAAAGAGGTGATGATAGAAGCATGATAGATTTCATAACTGTGGATGAAAGAATGAGGAGCACAGTGGTGGATACAAGGGTTTACCGGGGGGTCCAACGTAGGGACGGACCACTACCTGGTCTTATGCCGAATTAGGGGTTTATTCAGACGTTGGCGGCATAGGACATCTGTGTCTACCACTGCGTTACAGCGTATAAGAATTGAGAGGTTACAAGATGAAGATGTGAAAGACAATTACAAATGCAGACTGAGAGAAAACATAAGTAATTTGGATGAGTTGTGTGTGAATGAGTTAGACTTGGAGAATGTGTGGCATAATGTTAAGAAAGGTTTAGTGGATGCAGCTACCGAAGTATGTGGTGTTAGTAAGAGAACGAATGAAAGGAAAGACAATACGTTATGGTGGGATGATGAGGTACGTATGGAAGTTGAAGCAAAGAAGAGAGCATGGCTAGATTTACTAGCAACAAAGGCTGGTAATTCTAGCGGTACGAATGACGATATTGAAAGAAAAAAGGCAGTCTTTAGACATCTTAATAAGAGAGTAAAAGAAGTAGTTGAAAGAAAAAAGCAAGAAAGAACGGATAATAATGATAGAAGAATATCGGATAATTTCCAGGCAAATATTAAAATGTTCTGGAAACTTGTAAGAACTGCCAGGGGACATTCAAAACAGCCTATGATGAATGCTATAAGAGACGAGAATGGCTATATTCTGAATGATGAAGTTTTGAGTTTAAAGAGGTGGAAGGAATATTTTGAAAGCGTGTTTATGAGTGAGGAGAAGTGTGAACTAAATGAAATAGAAATTCCGAAAGAAGATGAAAGAGATAGGGAGATAAGTATGGATGAAATAATGAAAGCAATGAAAAGCATGAAAGTAGGTAAGGCAGCCGGATATGATAGAGTTTCACTCGAAATGCTAAGGGCTGGAGAGGACGTGGTGGCAGGCCTGCTGTACACCTTGTTTAATTTATGTTGGGAACTAAAGCGGGTACCGGGAGACTGGTGCAAAGCCGTGATAGTCCCAATATATAAGGAAAAAGGGTCACAGCAGGACTGTAAAAACTACCGTGGTATCAGCCTTCTTAGCATTGTGGGAAAACTGTATGCTAAGGTACTAATTGTAAGAGTTATGAAAGAAACTGATGAAAAAAATTTGGGATGTGCAAGCGGGATTTAGAAAGGGAATGGGGTGTACAGATCAAGTCTTTTCCATGCGCATGATCGCGGAGAAGTTTTTGGCAAAAAACCAAAAAGTTTTTTGTGCGTTCATGGACTTGGAAAAGGCTTATGACAGAGTGGACAGGGATGTGTTATGGCAAACGCTGAACGCATTTAGGTTGAGCGCTGGTTTGATACAGGCATTAAAGTCTCTGTATAGGGACTCGAGTGCTTGTGTTAGAATCAACGGGGTCTACTCGGACTGGTTTGGCATCCATAAAGGTGTCAGACAGGGCTGTGTAGCTTCCCCGTGGCTGTTCAACCTATTTATGGACAGCTGTTTGGAAAATTTGAAAGTTGAAGAATGCGGGGTAAGAATGGGTGAGTTAACCATCAAATACCTTGTGTACGCCGATGATCAAGTCATACTTGCGTCGTCGGCGGCCGAGTTGCAAATGATGGTTACATTAATGAACAGGTAATTAAAAGAAAGGGGAATGAAAGTGAACGCAAGTAAGACGAAAGTGATGGTTTTTGAAACAGATGAAAGCAAAACGGTATGTGAAATAAGAATAGAAGGAGAGTTAATTGAGCAAGTGGATGAGTTCGTATATTTGGGATGTGTATTCAGCAGGGATGGGAGATATGATAAGGACATTGAACGACGAGTGAATGCAGGAAATAAAGTAAATGGGGCTCTACACTCTATTGTGAAAAGTCAGAATGTGTCAAAAAAATGCACGTATGGCAATTCACAGTGCTGTATTAGTCCCTACTTTAACGTATGGTAGTGAAAGTTGGGTGTGGCAGAAGAAGCACGAGAGTAGAATAAATGGAGTAGAAATGCGGTCGCTAAGGAGTATGTAAGGGCTGAATCTGAGTGACAGGGTGAGAAACTGTGTGATAAAAGAAGAGTGTGGTTTGCAAGATGATGCGGTGACCAGGATTAAGAAAGGAATGCTTCGGTGGTTTGGTCATGTAGAAAGAATGAATGCGGAAAGACTGACAAAGCAAATATATGTTGCAGAAGTGAATGGAAGAGTCGGAAAGGGACGTCCTAGGCGGAAGTTTGTCGACCAAATTGGCGATATACTAAAAATGGGCCAAATTAAGAGTACCCTTAACCGACGAGCATGTATGCGTAGGTATATGGATGTGGAAGAGGCGAGAAAGGTATGTCAGGATCGTGCTAAATGGAAGTCTGTAGTCTCTGCCTACCCCTCTGGGTGACAGGCGTGAGTGTTTATGTTTATGTATGTATGTATGTAATTGCTGATATACCACGTGCTCGGCGGTGAAGGAAAACACCGTGAGGAAACCTGCATGTCTGAGGAATAAGAAAAAAAATATTTCGAAGACATGTGAAGTTCGCCAACACGCATTGGGGCAGCGCGGCGGAAACTTCCTTGCCCTAAAACCCTCTCAGAAATGAGGGCTTGTGCCCTGCAGTGGGACGTATACAATAGGCTGTAACTTTTTTACTTTTTATATCATAGCTTATAATAATATATGTATACGAATCAAAAAAATACAAGTACCTCATCCAAATATGTTTGCTTGCAGTTCAATTTATACAGGGTGGATGCGACGTAATGTCGTGTGGCGAGGAAGCCGCCTGTATCCAGTTCAACAGCACACTTCATTATTGCGTGTGCACATCGAACGCCGAGCCGGCCAAGGAGGACTTGAAGTGTCCTCGAAGCATCGGTAACTATGGAAATAATTCCTATTTCTTCCATGCAAGCTAAGAACTATATTTATGCATTATTCCTGTTTATTTTTCCAATATAAATTCGTTTGATAACGACTTTTATGGGGACTTGTAAGGGATAAGTCCTCGGCGACCGAGCTTCGCTTGGCGTTAGAATATTTTATAATAGAATTATACTTTTAAGCAATCAATTGTTATTGATCGGAAACAGCTTTACCAATTGTTTAAAAAAAAAAGAATATTAACAATGCTATAAGCATTACTAATATTCCCCTTAACCACTCGTGGTAAGCTTAAATTGCTTGTGTTACGAGTGGTTCACGCCAGTAGTCGAATGGCGGATTCGAACCCACGACCTTTTTGAGTTCGCGGTCCGCGCCCCGCCATTGGACTACTGTCGCTTTCTCAAATATAATATTAACAAATAAATACTGTAGATTCACGTGAAATAACCTCTAATAGTAATGTTTAACTCCTATTCTCAGCAAGACCTTCATGTTATATAAATTAACTTCAATATTTCAATCGTTAAATGATCGACTGGTGAATAATGTTCGTTGCAGTTATTATTTATGATAATTTCAATATCATTTGGCCGCGTTCAGATTCAAGTTCTTTATTTATAAACATTTGGTTAACTCGTAACAGTTTATTCTGAACGGAGAGGCGGACTAATCATAAGTGAAAGACATTCGCATATCAATTTAATATCAAAGTCTCTTATCAAGGCATTTAAAAATTAATTTACTTTTTGCGATTTTATAAAAGTTAACGATACGATCGTATTACCTTATGGCCATATAACCTAAGTGCTAAGTCGCAGGGTCAGGCTTGAACCTCAGCCGGAGTGAACATTTATGCAAAACTACAAATTTGTAGTCTAGATGTGTTGCGAATGTTTCCACATATCTGGAGCTTTATTCAAGCCCGCTTTCCATCTAAACAGAATTAACCATTACATTGAATATTGGTTTATATTATTACTTTGTTTCCATGCTATTCCGATAATAGTTGTTACTCTATTTAATATTGAGTAGTATAATTAAGAATGCCACTATAATTTTCATTATTATTATTTATTATCATTAAATAATAAGTAAATATATTAGAAATATAAAATGTGAAAAAAATCCTGTGATTGAAAAATACCTAATTAAAACATTAAGACGATTGTGAAGTGTCGATACGCAGCGCGAGTACGTATTTTCTAAAATGCTATTTGTTTCATACCACTTTGGCCATGTCCCTGTATCGTGCGATAGAGACAGTTGCAGGTTTTGGAGGCAATCGCCTACATTTCCTTTTTGAAATATTGTTTTGGGGCGATAACGTTTTCACCCCCCTAAGCCTTTACGAAATGAAACAATTCTGGTCTCATTCGATTCGGTACGTAACGTATAAATTAACGTCTGTACCTTTTTCTTTGTTAGTAACGCAGTTTAGTTTAACTTAAAAAAATAAAAACGCTTAAGGGAGTTTTTAAGTCAAAAATATAGATATTTAGATACCAATAACTTAAATCGCAAGCAATATTTTTTTTAAATAAAAACGTACGGACTTAGTTTTTCATTATATTTACATTTCCAAAAATCATGGAATTAGATTATGTTTACGGTGGGGCCGGGGGGGGGGGTTGGCGTTATCGCTCTTTGTATGAATATTTACAGCTTCACAATCCTTTTGAGTCTAGCATCACAGTCCAACAAATCTCTTTAATAAAACTATGTGCTTCTAATTACAGTACCATTGAGTCCAATTGCCATCCATAACATCATCCCACCATTAACATCGAACTCTTCAACCGATGGAAGATATGCTCCTCTGCCGCCTACACAAGTAAGATATTTGCTTTTTTATCAACTGAATTAAACTTCGCGAATTTAGCCAGAGATAGGGAGATGTGTTATAATATATGGGAGACTAAGATCTAAGAATACTGTGGTCAACAATTAGTGTAACAACAGCGATGAAATTTATGGCATGACATGGCGTTATTTAGATTTAAGTTAACCATCAAGGACCGTTTATTAAGTCAGTTTGTTCATTTACCAAAAACGTCTCCATACCTTTCGCTTCGCAAGATTGGTCCGAACAGACTGATAGGCCGACAGACAAAAAATTTAAAAATGATTTGAATTTGAAAATTTATGTCTTAATCGCATGCAAATAACCGTCTGAGCTTAAAAGTGGCCAGTTATTTCTGAAATATTATAATACAGACAGACACATCAATTTTGTTTATAATTTTTATTAATCTCTTCGCTAGAGTTACGAAAAGTATCCTACTACACTAAACTACGTCGTTTACGATACATCGAAAAATCATTTTGTATTTAAATAAAGATCGCGTATATTAACTTATTTTATATTCTCGACGTTTCGAGCACCTATGGTTACGGGGGGGACTACCTCCAGATTAAAATTATTAAGCACTTATTATGGTAAAAACAATTTTATAACTCGTGCATGTAAATCTTATAATAACAACTTTTCACATGTTATATTATTTTCTCTGTCATATGGACAGTTTAAAAAGGAAATTGAAACTGTAATGGATAATAGTTAAATTAATATTTCACTTTAACACGTTACTTCTTAACTTTATATAGTTTTTACAAACCTAAGTATGTAATATTGTTCGCTTGTTGTCTATGAGTTAACTGTGGAAAATTTGTTGTTAAATGTAAGATTAATATGTGTTATGTATTAGACTAAAATTATGAATGTTAGCGTTAAAGAAAAAAAAGATATTGCAGTTGTGTTCTTGTGTTGGGATTTAATTTTATTAATTTTAGGATCCCAAGCAGATGGTAGCACCCAGCCATCTTCCCTCTTGAAATTAGTACTTTTTTTGATTTCAATAATTATCAATAGCAGCTAAATGCTGCTGTGTTTCGTATGGTGGGTGTAGAGAACTGTAATCCCCTTTTTACTGGATACGAGGCATTCCACCTTAGTCCTCAGGGGTGACGACGCATCTGCATTTTGATTCTTATTATAGGATAGATGTAGATGTCCAACGTCCATGGGCCACAGCCATCCACTTATTATCATATAGGATGTGTGCTCGTTTGTCTCCTTTATTTTATAAGAAATCAACGACCATTCGAGTGTTTCATAAAATCCCAAAGGGAATAAGCCAATTAGATTAAAATCCGGTCGGCGTATTTTATTTGAATGGGTTTTTAGGAAAATAATTCTATTAGGGAAAATGAAAATATGTTTCATTAAATTTTAATACCATACTATTCTTTCTTGTTCTTAATTCAAAACGTTAATATTAAAATGTATTTCATATAAAACAACGAGTAATGAAAAGAGAACGTTATATTTATTCGTTAAAAACAGTTCACATTCTCGTACGTGGTTACTACATGGTAGCATGGCACTAAATACGAATAAAAAATATATAAGTTTTGTCTTTTTTGTAGTTTTTATACAATACGACTATTTTAATTTGTAAATGTTGTTTATCTTATCAATGTACATATTGATTTTGAGATGTCCGCCCGTGACGTCGGAATGGAAAACGAAAACAGCTTTTCCACAGTAACCGATAAATATTCATTAGCTCGCATAACACTGGACAATTTTACCCGAATTGAGAGACACGCTAAGAATAGAATTTTTATTATAATTATTTTATTTTCATAAATGATAGAAGCATTTAAACTTATACAAATTGCGAAATTATAATTACTCAAAGATCATACGTAGATAATTCGACAAAATCAAAAATTTGTTAAAGATTAAGGATTAAAAACAGAACGAGCACACAGTTTACCTGATGGTAAATGGATACTGTGGGCCACTTATTAGCCTAGCACAATCATGTGGACTGTGCTGTGTGTGACAACTACATCTATCCTCAATTAAAACATAGTGTTGATGCGCTATCATTCATCAGGACTAAAATAAAATAAAAATAAAAAAGGATTCGGTTCTCTACACTCAGCACACACTCTACAACATACATAGGTTTCTGTGCGAGCGTGGTCCTTCCCAGCTCGAACCGACCTCTTATGGTTGCAGCTCGAATAACTGCAGCGTAGCTTTACGATATTAAAGCTGGCACTAAATCAGCAATAAAAATTTCAATTACAGGCTGCCGGCAAAAGTGGTTGTCCTGATATAAAACTTATCTCTAAACTACCACCAGACTCAAGAAATTTATATGTAATCTTGTTTATAGGTACCAAAATCCCTGGTCAGTAGTGAAGTCTTCTCAGAGACAACAGTTGGTAACACATCTGTTGTCAGACCTGGAGGCAATGTGGGCACTAGCGAATATATTCTGATTGGCGTAATGTCAGGTGGAGCCGTACTCCTCTTTCTAGTAGCCTCAGCAATATTTCTCTACCTGAGAAGACGCATTTGCGCCGTCGATGGAAAAGTACAACCGGTAAGACTGATACAACTTTGTTATTGGTTTTATTTTATAACAAACTATCAAATAGATTTTAATAGTATTTATTAGATAAAATCATTTAATATATTCAAGCTCCCAAAATGCGCATTTGAGTAGTACTTATCAAGCTTACGCCATAAGTTTTGTTGATTTTTTGCGATTTTTAAATTTCCAGTGAGAGAACTATTAACATACACAAAAATATCGTGTGTTTGTAGCGTATTCGACCAGGAGAGCCTCTGCTTGCTGAGCGGTATATAACGAACCCACAGTACGGTGTGTGCGGCGGGGGTGCTCTGGCCGTACCAGCCAATGGCACTCTTGGGCCACGCCACACAACTGATACCAACGAGCCTGAAGTACCGCTACTAGATAGAAAAGCGTTGACTTTCCTAGAAGAGGTTGGAGAAGGATGCTTTGGAAAAGTCCATAAAGGTACTTAGTTTTATAACGCTGTTTATAAAAAATTTACTACATTTTGTGTTAAGCAAATAATTGATACATTGATTTTTTTTCTACTTTTTGCCAGACTTTCAAAAAAGGGTAGTGGGTTCGCAATTCGAATGTAGGTATGTTTATATATATATATATATATATATATATATATATATATATATATATATATATATATATATATATATATATAAGATGGATAAACGAGCACCCAGTTCACCTAATGGTAAGTGTTTGTTGGGGCCCAACACACATCTACATCTATCCTGAATTACGAATCAAAATGCAGATGCGGTGTCACCCGTGAGGACTAAGATGGAGTGTCTTGTTTCCAGTAAAAAAGGGTCTCCGATTCTCTACGCTCACCATACGAAACACAGCATATTTGGGCTACTATTTCAGTGGGATTCTGTGAGAGCGTGGTCCTTCCCCGTTCGAGCCAACCCATTCGGGCTACAACTATACTTCTAATACAGCTGCAGCATGGCTCTACCACGTATAAATATATTTAGCTCTTGTGTGTATATATAAATTGGGAACGGACTGGTTGGAATAGATGGACCGTGCTCAATAATTCAGTTAGTAATTTGATAAAAGATAAACCTTTTATTAAAAATGTAAGCCAACTTCAAAGAACTAAAAATAATAAAATTGTTACCACTTAAAATAGCATCCGAAGTCGGGGCTACGGTCCTTCTATACACTAAGGCTTCAAACTTTTTATTAAACTGCCTCGTTGGTCTAGTGGTCGTTAAATCAATTGCTGATCATGAGGTCCCCGTATTAAATCCAGGGTCGGGTTGTGGTTTCTATTAAGAAATTCTTCGTATCAGCAGATACTTGGAGGTGATCTCTCTCCGGATGGGTCGAATTACCGTCCCATCGGACTATGAGAGCGAGGGAATAGAGAGTACACCTGTACTTACGCATACCTGTTCCGCACGAGTGGGCACTATAATCATGTCCTGCATAAATGGCTACTATCTGTTGAGACTGGCCGCCGTGACCGCAATTCGGCTTGGAAGACATTATTTTTATTAAAGTTTAACTATTTTTGACCATTTTTTAAGTGGACTAAGAAATCACAACCTCATCACGACATCTAGTGTCTCGTTAAAATACCTAGTCGTATTAAAATTTCATCCCCTACTTTCCCTTCCTTAGAGGTTTATAATAATAATTTATATGGTAATAAATCATTTCACAATTGTACAAAACATCGTGCCAAACTAGTTTTGCCTAGGTCAAACTAATAGAACTGATCACGAAAATGTTAAGATTGATTTGACTTTTTTTGAGTCATTATTAATATTGATTCATATCGCGCGATGTTGGTGGATCCTAATACGCATTGTATTTTTGACCGTAGATTTTAAAATGCATTGTAAATTGTTATGTTTTCACGCCCAGTTTCAAAGCACGTATAGCCTGCGCCTGATCTCTATCTCTCTCTCTCTCTCTCTCTCTCTCTCTCTCTCTCTCTCTCTCTGGTCTTGTTAGATTGCTATCGTACAATGAGAGTGAGGAAAAAGAGAGTGCGTAAGTACGCACAAACACACTTCTGTAGATAATCCTGTCGTGCGCAGGCGGCTAGACTTCGTTGAGAATTGTAATCGTGATCGAAATTCGATCCGAAGGGCATTATTATTACTGTTATATAATATACTTTACTTATAACTTTTTTATATGTTTTATAATTTGACTGACTTTCTCGTGACTTTCACAGGAGTTTTACGAACTAGCAGCGGAGAACAAGTTGTAGCTATAAAAGTGTTGAAAGAAAGCGCAGGCCGAAGCGCTGAGGAGGACTTCGCGAGAGAAGTGTCCATTATGTCCGCGTTCAGACATCCCAATATATTAACTCTTGTTGGAGTTGTGTACAGAGGTAAAGCACTATATTATTTAATTTATGTAAACTTTGGCAAGCTATTTACAAGTCTTTATCCTTATAAAAGAAAGAAAAAATACAAATGTACAATTTATGAGAAGTATCCAGTTAGGTATGTTGTCTCCCTGGTCTATTTCGACCACGGTGATAACTTACGAATACTCGTGAAATTTTTCTTGGCGGGGTTTGTTTTTTTTTGGCCTTTTTTAAGCAAAATTAGTGCGTTTGTGTCTTTTACCAGGCTGTGTATTTTATATCTTTTGAGCGTTCTGCTGCAAATGTCAATCTTCCAATCTTTATGTCACTGCATAATAACTAGCATTTGTGTTTGTACCGTCGCATAAAATTATATTACTAAAACAATGTTACGAAATATCAAGCCAAAAATGGCCTGAAAATATACGCGGCAAACGTCCCGATACTATCCACACCATCTGAATGCTTGGCGGTCCACCACTGTACGTTTCAAAAGGAGTTTTCTTCAGCGTACAACCTCTCTGTGGAATAGTTTACCATCGGCGATTTTCCCGGACCGAACGGTTTTTGGTGGAGATGCTGTTTGCCCCCCTCTTCTATATAAAAAAAACCTGATGAGAATCAGGTGTTGCGGTTGATCATGGGCAGCGGTGGTCACTTAACATCAGGTGAGCCGCATGCTCGTTTGCCCCCTCTTCTATAAAAAAATTAACTTTTTAAAATCAACTAGAACTAAATCAATTTGTAATATTGCTGTGGCGCAGATACTTCGAAAAAATAATGTAGTATATGTGTTGCGTAATGAAGTGAACTACTTAATTGTTTGAATGTTAAAGCGCTTACATTACTAAAAATATTAGATCTGAATTAAAATAATAAATTATATATCAGCACAGTAAATTCCTACTTTACGCTTGTGCCAAATTGCATTGTTAACCATAAAGCCTAGATTTTTATTAATAATTCATTCACAGATGATATAAGCGCAAGTCCATGGATGGTCTTCGAATATATGGAATGGGGAGATTTAGCGGGAGTTTTACGGGGTTCTCGAGGTGGCGGGAGGTCGGGGCCGATACTAGATAAACCAGCCTTGCTGCACGTTGCTTTGCAAGTGGCTCTTGGTATGCAGTATCTTGCAGCGCGTCGATTCGTGCATAGAGACCTCGCAGCACGAAACTGCTTGGTTGGTGCTAATCTTGCGGTTAAAATAGCTGATTTCGGTATGTCCCGTGATGTTTACACGTGCGATTACTATAAAATGGGTGGTGAACGCCCTATGCCAGTGCGATGGATGTCTCCGGAGAGCATTGTGTACGCACGATTTACACACGAATCTGATGTTTGGTCATACGGCGTTGTACTTTGGGAAATATACAGCCGTGGCAAACAACCATTCTACGGTCATAATAATGACGAAGCTTCAAAACTAATTTTAAATGGTATAGTTCTGGTGCCACCAGAAGATTGTCCTATATTCGCATGCGAATTAATGCGCGCTTGCTGGGAAGAAGATCCACGCAACAGAATCGGATTCGATGAAATATGCCGTAAGCTTAAGGCGGCAGCGGAAGCCGGGGGATCTACTACTCAAATGCGTTTGCCGAGACCACCCGCTCCGCCTCAGGACTCTTTTGGATATCTAATACCCGCAAGAAATCCCCCCGTTGACTACTTAAAGCCGTTGCCGGACCCCGACCCGGAATCTGATTTCAGCGAGGATGAAGAAGATGAAGAGGAATACACTTGACAACAAGTTTCACTATCTGCCTCGCAATACGTGCCACACCTCTTAGCCGGGGCGGTTGCCGTCAACCTACACAACACCTCAACATTCCCGCCGCAGAATAGCAATGATCAGTGTCAATGCTAAATTAAACGTCTAGCCCGTTACAAAGACTGTTAATGATGAGATGGACTCAATGGAATTATGGAATACTCAATTTTCATGTGTGATATTTTACATAATAAACTTTAGGCAAATGATTTGTTACCTTTTAGTGTTTAAATGTATGATATACTTCATACGAATATATTTAAATATTAGAAATTTTTGTGCCATATTTAAGAACCAAAATAGAAACAAGAAGCATACGTGTTATTGAATGTTTTACTAGATGTGTAAAATGTTGATTATATTAAAATGAAAGAAAAGGAAATTATTAAGTTCACTTAAAGTTATCCAACGTTATAAGTATTAAGTATTAATTAATCTTCGCAAATTATTGTCTTAAAAAAGAAGGGTTTGTGAAGTTATTATAATATGTACATTTTAAAGCATTATATAAAGTATGTGGTTATTACTACCTATTATTCTAAATTTTTCTTGTAAATACGGTATGTATATAAACCAGAAACAATGACAATTAGGATGACATCTGGTATTCGTAGTTACACTATTAGTAATGACTGAGGTAGAAGTAAACGTAATACCTACCTCAAAATATGTAATTTATTCACTTTTAATTGTAAATAATAGCACTTTATTTAAAACTTTATATTATCTTATGTATTAACTGGGATAAAAAACTCAATATATAATTAAAAGAAATATGACTTCTAAATAAAATGAAATGTAAATATACGTATTGAATTTCTGCTAAAATTGTACTTTTGGAACATTTTAAATGTATTGTGAATTGCATAGTAAGTTTAATATAATTAACAAAAAGGTATGCCAAGGATATGTGCCAATTAATATGTAATGATAAACGGCTGCTTTATTTAATAAATACGGCAATTCAATTATGAAAAAAAAAATCAGCGCAATTTAAATTTATAATCCCTCCAACTTGTGTGCAAGTTAATATAAGAATGATTGTTGATTTATGTTCGAAAATTCTATTTTTTTTTCATGTAACATAATTCATCTATTGATGAATTTAGAAAATCGCAAACTTATATTATATTTCGTATATTTACATATTATCGTTTTATTTTCTTCTCACGAACCACGTTTTAGGTACATATGAACAAACAAAAATAAAACGAACAAAGAAACATATGGTAAGTAATTTGTTAGGTGGTCCCAGTGGCGAAGCCTCCATACAAGCCCAGAAACCCGGCTTGCCTTATCAAGCTGAATCAATCAATAATATCAAGTAATAAAATAACTCGTAAACTGTTTCAAACTATTTCAAATTTCCCGCACGCTCCGTGCGACCTCGAAGCCTTAGGAATACTGCTGTCATACATATAAGGAGAGTTGAATTGAGCCATTGGTTGTCTCCCTCGCACACGTGGGCTTTTTACTGGGTTTTCGAGAAGGCGATCGCTCCCTTTCTAACCTGTGGCAAAATGTTCTATAATGAAACATAACTACGGTTGTATAAACAGCAATTAGTATGGAGATAAAAAGCCCGGCTTTTTAGTGACCATCAATTTTTTCCTCAGAGCGGGACGCCTTTAAAATTATTATAGTTTTAACACTTTTGACTGCCTTCTTGGTCTAATGGTCGTAAACGCAATTGCTGATCATGTGGTCCCAAGTTCGAAACCTGAGTCGGGTCAAGAATCATTTATTGGGTTTTCCTGTCACAAAATTCTCAGTAGCAGTAGTATTAACACTTGGGCAATATAATCCAGATGCGCAGATGGCTATTTTCCGTTGAGAATAGCCTTGTTACCAAAATTCAATCTGAAGCCCTTTAATATAGGTTTATAAATAAAACACATTGTTTGTTTGAATTTTTTAATTATCTAAAGTGAATTCTGAACATCAAATAAATACTAATTGGAAACAACTTACGTTATTTGATAATTTATTTTAGATTAATTAAAAATTGTCACTTCGTAACTTTAAATTGAAAAGTGTAGCTTTTCAGAATAATCACGTAACTATACAAGCCATGCTGGCAAACCTGATACGCGCGGTGTCGCAATGATGGCATTGGTGAAAGAGTTTCCATCATTGTCACGCTTTTGTTTGTCAAAGCGGGACATTTTTACGTATTTTGGGGACAGCGCGACACAAACTTTTAAATTGGGAACGTCCTGCCTAAAGGGGTCGTATGGTCACATTAGGTATGAAGTTAGTCGAGACACGGAGGTGCGCGGGCGACGCCGACGATATGTTTGCAAGTTTATGTCACATTTCAATGTTTACATTGTGTGTTAGCTTGAGCGAATGTATTATAATGTAAAATATTGTGAGTTGAAAGTTTATACTTTTTTTAAAGATTTTTAGCGAAAATGGGGAAAAAGAGTGTTCTTTGTGATGAATATAAGTGTGTTAAAGTGCTAATCAGCGAGGAAAAGGTAAAATCTTTAAAAATAAAATTTTATTTCAATAAACATTTCTTCACACTTTAATAGGTACAGGGCTCTTTAGTATTAAAGTTTAATTATTCTAGGCGTATTTAAAGGTTTAATAATAACTCAATACTTATACCATATGAGTTAAAAATATCATTTTGAACTGCAGCATAAAATATGAGATACCTAGGTATAAGTTTAATTTTATAGCAAAAAATTGTTATAATCTGTTTTTTTTTAATATGAAGCCCAAATTTTAATTTAATAAATTAATTGAAAACACCATGTATTGAGGTTTTTAAAAAATATTTCCTTTAGTCTTCAGTATATAAAAATTTTATAGCACCATCTACTTAATTCTATAGGTGAATTCATTTTATCGAACGAAAATTGCTTGACTCTACGGTCATACAACATATCTAGCGGTAGTATGCCTTCTGTGTGCTTTGTTAAACACGTCCTCGACAGAACTTAATGTGAAACTGAACAGTGGAGACAGATCAAAATTGGTGTATTTTTATAAAACTGCTAAAAACAACAAATCCATATCTTGGGCTTGCCCTAGTTTGGAGCCCTAGCTTCGCCACTGGGTGGTCCTTCTCTTTCATCAGCCCATTATAGTTTATTGCGGTGCAAGCTTCTCTTCCTCTGCAGGAAGGATTTGAATTACACCCACTTTGGCTGGCGGAATGACGATCGCAGAACCAGACGTCTCTTACTGCTGCTGCTTCATTCCTTCCTCCAGTTTGACGGTTTGACTGCCATCCATAGTAAACCGCAAGATTATTTTAATGATTCCTAATATTTGCCACTTACGACACGCATGGGACGAAAAGTTGCGACTGTTGCAAAATTGTTACAGTATTCAAATACGTATTAAATACTAAAACATTTATATCTCTTTTCCTAATTTACGCACAGATTAACACTACTCCACCCCCTCCGTACCACCCTCCCCCCACCCGATCAACACCTGGCTTTTAATCTCAATCTTCAGCGCATTAAAAAGATTGATTCATTAATTCCGATCCAGACGAATCGAATATACTGCAAATAGAAAAATGGATATTTTACGACTAACGAACCAACCAGCCAAACTGTGGAAAACTAAAAATGAGTAGTAATTAGATCATTACAGCCTATTATAGTCTACTGCAGAACATAGGTCTTACCATGCCTCATTAGGGGATTTACTATATTTGCCACGTGGCAGTGTAAGAATATACATTGCCACGTATCATCCTGTGGGTGTTGTAAGAGATTTTAGAGGGAATCTAACCAGGAGACGAGAGCAGCGTGTTTTGTTTTTAAATTAAAAACATTACACAAACAAAAACACAAACAAACAACACAAAAACAAAATAAAGTAATAGTGGGGTGCCGAACGGAAAAGGAGATAAGTAAAGTCAAGGAAAGACTAAAGATGGCAGGAAAAGACCTCAATGTAGATGATATACAAAACAAGGATCCACTCGTTATCCTAAGGGATGTCCTACAATACAATACAGATGAGGAAATACAAAAAGCAATAAGAATGCAGAATAAACACCTCTTTAAAGATTTACCAGACAAAGATGACCGAATGGAGATCAAATACCGGAAAAGGACTAGGAACCCGCACACATCCCACGTTGTAATCAGAGTTTCTCCCAAAATATGGAATCGCTTAATAGAAGCTTCAGTAATTCATATTGATCTACAACGAATTAGAGTAATGGATCAATCCCCTTTGATCCAGTGTTCGCGATGCCTAGGATACGGACACAGTAAACGCATATGCAGCGAAACGACTGAAATCTGTTGTCACTGTGGAGGACCACATTTAAAAACTGAATGTGTCGAGTGGCTATCCGGAGGAATGCCATCATGTATTAACTGCAACAGCGCAAAACTCGACAAAAAAGAACACAATGCATTTAGCATAGACTGTCCAGTTAGGAAAAAATGGGAAGCCCTGGCAAGGTCTACAGTGGCATATTGCTGAGGTTGTCCCAAAATCGAACATTGAACCAAACACCGGAAACCACCGATACCACGGAATTCAAGCGAACCTACAAAGATGTGAGCTAGCCACGGCCGAACTAATAACAGAGGCGACAAAGAGGAGGATAACCTTCGCTATGGTTCAGGAGCCATATATTGGACGAATCGGACAGATGAGAAACTATCCCGGGACGAGAATAGTACAATGCCACAGAAGCCTGTACACTGAAAAGGTTATTAAGGCGGCCATTGTGCTATTCGACGACACCATTGACGTGACCCCATGCCCCAGTCTAACAACAGAGAATATTGCAGTCGCAAAGCTGAGAACAGGGGCTTGGGAGCTCGGAGTGGTGTCCGTCTACCTAGAAAGGGATAAGCCAATTGAACCATACTTGAAAACGATTGAAGCGGCCGTGGAAAGCATAGGGACTAAAAACGTGGTACTCGGCGGAGACGTCAATGCCTGGAATACCTGGTGGGGAAGCCGGGAAACCGACAGTAGAGGGATGG